CTAATTTATCATATATATGCTTGTACATGTATGTGCAGTGTAACCTAAGTGTAAGTAGAAGTAGCAAGACATACCTGAAATCTTGCATGTTTATGAAACAGAAAAAAGGACACCAACAATCCTACCATCATGTAAAACAATTACAGGCTTTCGTTTTACACTCACTTGGCAGGACGGTAGTACCTCCCTGGGTGGTTGCTGTCTACCAACCTACTACCTTTATATATACGTATATATATATACCTATATATATACATGTATATATGTATACCTATATATATACATGTATATATATATACCTATATATATACATGTATATATATATATACACACACACACACACACACACACACACACACACACACACACACACACACACACACACACACACACACACACACACACACACACACACACACACACAGTAGGACCCCCGTATCCGTGCTGGATATGTTCCAAGGACCTGCCATGGATACCGAAACCGTGGATAGTAGCAAATACTGTATGTAAGTTTTCTACATACCTATTATAAAGTTTAATTGACAAATTATGCATAATAAGTGGAGAATTATCACTTATTTTACTTATGGGAAGCACATTATGGCTTCTCTTAGGCACTGAAGAGCTACCAGCTTTTCTACTTTTGTGCTTTGGGGGCCATTATTATGCAAAATTAAGAGGTATTTTTGGGCCACAGTAAACCATGGATAACTGAAACCGCAGATACCGAATTAGTGGATATGGGGGCTCTACTGTATACAGACACTCCTTACTTAATGACAGAGTTCCATTCCAAAGACCACTTCGGTAAACGAATTCGTTGCTAAGCAAGGAACTACCTCTTACCAATGCTTCAAGCATTTATAACAACCATTTAAAACATTTTTTTCTGAATAAAGAAAAGATTAAAATAAACTCCAACTTGATAACTTTGTTTTAGTTTCCATAACTCTTACATCTTTCTTTCTTTCAACACACCAGCCGTATCCCACCGAGGCGGGGTGGCCCAAAAGGAAAAACAAAAGTTTCTCCTTTTACATTTAGTAATATATACAGCAGAAGGGGTTACTAGCCCCTTGCTCCCGGCATTTTAGTCGCCTCTTACAACACGCATGGCTTACGGAGGAAGAATTTTGTTCCACTTCCCCATGGAGATAAGAAGAAATAAACAAGAACAAGAACCAGAAACAAAATAGAAGAAAACCCAGAGGGGTGTGTATATATATGCTTGTACATGTATGTGTAGTGTTACCTAAGTGTAAGTAGAAGTAGCAAGACATACCTGAAATCTTGCATGTTCATGAGACAGAAAAATGGACACCAGCAATCCTACCATCATGTAGAACAATTACAGGCTTTCGTTTTACACTCACTTGGCAGGACGGTAGTACCTCCCTGGGAGGTTGCTGTCTACCAACCTACTACCTAGGATAACTCTTACATATTACAGAAAATTGTAATTACTGTACAGTGAATGACCTGATAAAGGGAAGGAAAGTGTTGTTAAATATCTCTTAGTACAGCATCTCTTTGGAATGAATTGAAGGCATTAGCAAAGTCCAATTAATTTAAATTAGTTAAATATACATCAATGATAATAATATAATTAATTCAACAGTGATGGTGGGTGAGGAAGACAGGCGACCCTGCGTCCATAAGAATCTTGACTGATACATTGTCTACTACTGCTACTGCCGCTAGTGCTACTGCTGGTGCTGCTGCTATTGTTACCGCTACTGCCACTGTTACTGCTGCAAGATGATGTTCCAGTGATAGATGAGTATCTCACCGAGATATAACATTGAAGTTTAACATACGACAGAGCTTGAAGTCAGTGAATGTCATTGTGTATATTGCTATGAAATATTCGACATTCCTTTTCAGGATTAACATCATTGAAATCTTGATGTCACATAAAAGACTGACATAACTGAAAATTTATCATTGCTATTAATGCCTCACATCAGTTTAAGATTATCTGCCCAATGGGCAGAGAGCCTTCTCTGCTAATATCAACTTGTTAAAATTAAAGTCTGACTCAAGACCAACAGTTGATATCAAAATAGAGAATGAAACAATTTGCATTTTCCTAAGAATTCTGATTTTGTAACTGCAGTCAGCATATTCTGTGGAAGGTAGACTGTGGAGAACTGATGGAGAGTGCATTGGAAACCTTGTGAGGTCCATGGTGGTGAGCTGTGGTGGGAGTTGAAAAACAGCTCTACCAATTGAGGGTTGAGTTGGAGACGTGTTTGTAGTGTTGGTGAGTGGTGAGGGAGTGAGGCATCACCAGCACTCACCATGTGGGGCACCAAGGCAACAGCTGACCGCCTCAACCTGGGCACCAAGGATGAACTGGTAAGCTCCCCATAAAATATTCATAGTTTTATCTTCCTAAAAAATAGCTAGTACATGTACAGTATATCTTATTTCTTTTACATTGACATCAAATCCAATTAAATTTAAATACAGTGGTACCCTAAGTTTTGAACTGCTCCCAACTCGACCAATTATGTAAGTGTATTATTGTAAGTGCTTTTTTTAAGTGTATTTTTGGGGGTCCCGAAATGGACTAATCTAATTTACATTATTGCTTATGGGAGCAAATTCGTTCGGTAATGGCACTTGAACAGACTTCTGTAACAAAGAGAGCTCGAAACTCGGGGTACCACTGTATTTAAGTTATTTGGACACAAACAGATGTACTTCTTAATATGTGTACTTACCTATATGTCATTGCTGGGGTCGAGTTATAGCTCCTGGCCTCGACCTCTGAATACAGAGGTTCACTGCATATTTAAAATTGTCAACCAGTTTCTTCCCAGATCTACTAGGATTATGTATGCTACATGTTTCTCACTGGTGTATGGAGCCTACTTCATACCTGGAAGAGTGACATGGTATGATAATGTATAAACACTAAGTTATTTGGTCATTGTTGTCAGAGATTGTTCATTATCAGTCAGCCAGTCATGATTCAAACATCTCATGTTATGCCATCTTATCAACTTTTATTTGAATACCAAACTGTCTACTGATCTGAGTGATAGTTGTCCAGAGTAATTTATAAAAGAAACCCTGATGCTTGTGAAGGGCTCTTGATCCAAGGAACTAAATTATTATTATTATTATTATTATTATTGTTGTTGGTGTTATATTTAGGGGGAGTGTTAAACCCACAGTGATCATACAGTAGCTGGAGAAAGGGAGGTAGTCAGGTTCAGTTCAGAGAAAGAGAGAAAAAAATACAATTCCTTGGATCAAGAGCCCCTCACCAGCACCAAGGAACCTCCCTTGAAATATCCAAGTAACTTAAGTAACCAATTCCTAGCTAAGGTCAAACATGAGTGTCTCTCAGTCCCAAGACTCTCTAGGACCCTTGAGGATTTAGCACTTCCTTATTAACATAATGCATAATAATAATAATGTTTTTGTTGTGTTTAAAGCAGTATGTGGGGTGAATATTATATAGGGAAATAGGAGGTTTAAAATTAGATGACGTTACCAGAAGTTACTTCAGATAATTTGGATATTTAGAGAGAATAGTGCAAATTAGGAGACCTAAGTGGATATATAAAACTGAGGTGGAGGGAAGGCAGGGTAGGAGTTGGCCTAGGAAAGGTTGGAGGGAGGGAGTAAAGGACGTTTCGTGTGCCAGGGGCTTGGACTTCCAGCAAGCAGGCATGAGCGTATTAGATAGGAGCGAGTGGAGACAAATGGTATTTATGACTTGAAGATTTGTTGGAGTATGAGCAAGGTAAATTTATGAGAGGATTCAGGGAAACTGGTTAGCCAGACTTGAGTTCTGGAGGTGGTAAGTACAGTGCCTGCACTCTGAAGGAGAGGCAGGGATGTTGAAGTGCAGAGAGTCATCAGAACTGAAACACAATCATGCTTCTAGCAAGAGAATAATTGAATGAATAACGGTGAATACGCTTCCTCTTTTCTGGGTCACCCTACCTTGGTGGGAGACAGCCATTGTTACCAGTGATGATATAATAATCATAAACTTGTAAATAATTCATTACCAGTATCCCTCTCCAGGTATATTCCAGGTATACTATAATTTGCTGAACTATGAAAACTTTGGGGCCCAGCTCCTGGACCTTTTACGTACCCCTGTAATTTTCTGATCACCTCCCACAGGATGGGTATGGCCTGTGTAATAAAGTCATTAACCTAACTAAATAAAACTAACTCACGTGCCCTCAGGAAGTAACAGGATACAGACGGGACCCGGTGAAGCTGGCATTGACGGTGGTAGCAACAGTGGCTACTGGCGGCCTCCTGCTCATTCTTATCACCTGGCGACCCTCCATCAAGCTCGCTCTCACCCACCGTCGCTGCTCGCTCTTAGAAGCTAACAAGCTGCTCCTCAAGGTTTGTCACCACTAGTAACACTTGTATGTACTACATAATATTAATACGATCATGGAGACGATCTCAACATACAGCATCTGTGGAATGGTAGGTAATCAGGTTTGATCCGAGGAAAAGAAGGGTCGTTCCATTACTGTATACATGTATTAAGCCATGTAGCATTAAAGAGTTTATAAAAGATATATGAGAGAGAGAGAGAGAGAGAGAGAAAGGACAGCAAGCAGTAACTTTACTGTGACTGTAACCTTCTCCAGAACATCATCTGAGATGATTTATTCCTAGGATGACTCGAGTCTGGAACTTGTTCGTACAGCATAATGATATTAACGAAATACAGTCAGTTGATCAAATGAAATTGCTGGCCCACAGATGGCTCCAACTTCATCTTGTTCCCTACTTGTATGTTTCATAACAATAAAAAGGCTTTTAAATGAGTTGATGTAGGTAACAGCTCTTAGCTTGTAAATAAAGTTAGGAATCCTTAACCTAAACTTGTAAAAACCCTGTGTATAGAGAGAGAGAGAGAGAGAGAGAGAGAGAGAGAGAGAGCACCAGAACCATAAAGAGGAACCTAACTCCTTGTAACCCTTGTGACTTTTGTCCCGTACCTCGATTGCTAGTGTACTCGCCTCACACATTGAGATCTGTGGTTCGATGCCCAGTATGGGTGGAAAAATTAGGATGTGTTTTCTTAAGACACCTGCTGCCCCTGTTCATCTATCAGTAAAATAGGTACCTGGGTGTTTGCCGACTGTGTGGGTTGCATCCTGGGAGCAAAACTGACCTAATTTGCCTGAAAAGGCCTGCATAACAAGGGGCTTTCTATATAGTAATATGTCACTGATGTCAGCTAGGTCTGCATACCTTGTACATGAACTTGTAGAAATAAAGAGTATTATATTATTATTATTATTATTATTATTATTATTATTATTATTATTATTATTATTACTATTATTATTATTATTATTATTATTATTATTATTATTATTATTCCATATAGGACACATACCATCAGCTTTGGGAGGAGGAGGTGGTGAGAGAGGAAGCAAGATGTGATACAGAGGCTGGTGTTGACACCCTAGGTAGCATCTACTTTACCAACAAGAAGATCAAATATATCTGGGATGATGCCACCTGTACCTTCGTCAGGCTGCGGTAAGTTCCACACAAAAGTACATGGCCAAAAAATCTTACAATATACGTATATATTTTTATACTTCAACGGAATGCATTTAATTTTGGAATGCAAATAAAGACTTTGTAATGTCTAAGTCTTTTATGGTTTTCAATTTGACATAACCTTAGTGAGGATGTCACAACCTATTAGAGGGAAAATATGAAGTGAAAAAGTCTGAGTATGATTTTAAGTATTATATGTGATGTGAAAGAGGACTATATATAAAGAGATCTTGTCACTTAGTTTAATATCTTCATTATGTGGGCAGTAGTCAAAGGCTGACAGAGGTACATGATGGGTCCAGGGACTGGGCCCCAAAGTTTTGAGAGCTAAACAAGTTACAGTGGTAATGAACTGCTTACATGTTTATATCTGATTACAGTCATAATGAATTATTGTCAGTAATGGGACTTTCACAGACCCTTTGACAATGGGGCAACATTCAACACCTTCCAACAAGCAAGTGGAGGCCTGGGTCAGGCCACAGCTCAGCGTCGACAGTCACTCTTCGGCGAGAACTTCATGAGGATAGAAATTCTCTCCATATGGCAGTTACTTGTCCAGCAGGCCAGTTACTTTTCCTTTTTTTATAATTACTTTTGGTAAAGGGTTCTTAACAAAATTAGGTACATAACTTTTACGAAGTTACCCTTGTTCTATAAAACATTGAAAGAACGAAAGTTAGTTTCCTGTCATATAATATCCCAACAAGGAAACATTGCTGGCTTTTGTTCCAACAGTTTAGCTGTCATATAGAGTAGGGCAGCAGGACATTAGTAATGTGTTTCATTTTGTTATACGTTATAAGAAAGTTTTGCTCCTTTCCTCAAAAATTATTTGCTTTTTGGCAAAGTTTCAAACCAGTTTCCAGTCACAGTAGTAATGTTTAAATCAATGGTTCCCCAATCACAAGACTGCAGTATACACCTATATAACTCACAAAGTATCACCTGTATCTTGTTTCCATTTATGTATCGCAGTTTGAGTGACACAGATGTATCACCAGCATAAATGACGGGGATTTAAAAAAGCAGTCAAGGGAATGATAAAAGCTTTACAGTTTACTCAGCGTTGTGTGTACATAGTAATTACCAGTGGCTGTAGATGTCACATTACCATGTCATTGTAAGTACTACATTAACAATTTCCCTACATTTTGGAGGGACAGGGGAAGGGGAGATTTTAGACGGCATTACAGCCCATCCTGATCCATAATAAAGCCGTCATTGGTTATAACTATGACCATAATTTTTAAAGGGGTGGACCCAAAAGTTCCAGCGGTGGGTCGTCACATGACTAAGACCCGCATCAGGAGACACTTTTCATGTTTCCTGACGAACCTTACATAACCTGCTAGCAATGTCATGACTTGTTCATGGTTCATAACGAAGCCACCACTGCAAGCTATGTCATGACTTATGTCTTTGATGAGTTTCGAGAATCTTACTACTCTCGGAGTACAGCCATGGACCAGGCTCGTTTGGTGCTAGCCTGGTCACCCAGGCTGTTGCTGTTGGAGACCCGCTGCCCCACATATCCATCACAGTGTGATTGATTTGGCACCTGGTAAAGGTATTTGTCCAGTTTTCTCTTGAAGACTTCCACACTTTTTCCAGCAGTGTTTAAGATATCTTCTGGTAAGATGTTGAAAAGTCTGGGGCCACGAATGTTGATACAGTGTTCCCTTACTGTGTTCACCGCACCCCTGCTTTTCACTGGGTTTATTTTGCACTTTCTCTCATGTCTCTCGCTCCAATATGTTGTTATGACAGTATACAGATTTGGGACCAGGCCCTCAAGTACTTTCCAGGTATATATTATCATGTACAGTGGACCCTCGACCAACGCTGGCATCGTCTAATGATAAAATCGCCTAACGATGCATTTCTGCGTAAAAATATTGGCTCGTCCAATGGTGAAAAACTCGGGTAAAGACATTCGTCTCGAATGCGTCTGCCTCTCCATCCAGCCTGAGCTCCTCAGCTGCCCTGCCTTCAGCTAGTGTGCCATTGTTTACAAGCCAGGGCAGATGGTTTCACACATATATGTGATATAATTTGTATTATTCCATTGTTTTTAGTGCTTGTAACTGCTAAATAAGCCACCATGGACCCAAAGAAAGCTTCTAGTGCCAACCCTGTGGTAAAAAAGGTGAGAAATACTATAGAAATACTATCGTACCACGGTCAGCTGTTGCTGCACCACAATCAGCTGCTGCTGTACCACAGTCAGCTGCTGCTGTACCATGGTCAGCTGCTGCTGCACCATGGTCAGCTGCTGCTGTTGCTGCACCACCGTCAGCTGCTGCTGTTGCTGCACCACCATCAGCTGCTGCTGTACCACCATCAGCTGCTGCTGTACCACAGTCAGCTGCTGCTGTACCACGGTCAGCTGCTGCTGTTGCTGCACCACCATCAGCTGCTGCTGTACCACCATCAGCTGCTGCTGTACCACTGTCAGCTGCTGCTGTACCACCATCAGCTGCTGCTGCACCACCATCAGCTGCTGCTGTTGCTGCACCACCATCAGCTGCTGCTGTTGCTGCCCACCATCAGCTGCTGCTGTTGCTGCACCACCATCAGCTGCTGCTGTTGCTGCACCACCATCAGCTGCTGCTGTTGCTGCACCACCATCAGCTGCTGCTGTTGCTGCACCACCATCAGCTGCTGCTGTTGCTGCACCACCATCAGCTGCTGCTGTTGCTGCACCACCATCAGCTGCTGCTGTACCACGGTCAGCTGCTGCTGTTGCTGCACCACCGTCAGCTGCTGCTGCACCACCGTCAGCTGTACTACTTGAAGGTATGGAGAGAGTGTTGTTGGTCTGGCTTTATGAGAAACATTACCGAGAAACAATTAACCCCAGAGGGTTAGCCACCCAGGATAACCCAAGAAAGTCAGTGCGTCTTCGGGAACTGTCCAACTTATTTCCATTGGGGTCCTTAACCCTTTGAGGGTTTTCGTCGTACTAGTACGTCTTACGCGTAGGGGTTTTTGACGTACTAGTATGCATAAATTCTAGCGGCCTCAAATCTCGCGCGAAAAGGCTGGTAGGCCTAGGTGTGAGAGAATGGGTCTGCGTGGTCAGTGTGCGCGGTAGAAAAAAAATCTGGTACCCAGTGGTGCATTGTGGGAATGCCCTCTTAGTAAACAATGTCCACCATGCCTCGCGGTAAGAAGCTCCTCACTCCTCGGCGAATTGGGACACTTTTGTTCCCCAGTGACAGTTCTAATAGTGATGGAAGTGCCAGTAAAGATGAGTTTCGTGGTTTTAGTGAGGTTTTGACCGAAACTAATGACCATAATATTGGTAATAGTGAAGAAAACCCAGACGACCTCAGCCTTCCACCTCTGGTGCTGGGCCCTCGTGTTCACGTTCAGTTGTTCCAGAACCCAAGAGGAAACTTCTATTTTTCCCAATCCCAGACTCAGATGAGAGCATGGGTGATGATAGTGAGAGTGAATATGAACTACAAGCTCTTCAAACTAGTTCCAGTAGTGATAGTGAAATGCAATATTCCCCAGTGAAGCGTCAGTATATACGACGATATATGCGCTCTGGAAGTGTGCCATATGTTAATACCAAGGGAAGGAGTGTATCTCGGAGTACATCCCGTGGCTGTACAACAGGAACAGACAGTGAAAATGACGAAGATACTGTTGCAATTGGGATGGAAAATGTGCGTGGTGGTAGTGGTGCAGGTGGTGAGGCACCAGCAGTGGGCCATGCTGCCACCCACGCTGCCACCCACGCCGCTGCCTCAGCTGATCTAGAACAAAGGCCACCATCCCCCACTCCCCCACCACACCAGCCTCCACAACCACAACCTCCACAACCACAACCTCCACAACCACAACCACCTGTCATTGTCCAGTACCCACCAGCAGACCACACCTGGGATTGGCAGGAAGCTGTCAATTTTGTTCCAAATCCCCACCAGTTTGATGGCAGCCAAAGTGGAATACGGCCATCTTGTGCACTTGGGAACAATGCCACTGAACTGGAATGTTTCGAGTTATTCTTTGGACGAACCACTGATGAAAGTATTGTCATGGAAAGCAACACATACTACGAGTACACCATGGCAAACACAATACTTTCACCAAAATCACGTCTACACCAATGGAAGGGGCAACTGTGGCTGAGATGTATCTTTTCTTTGCCACAATAATTGCTTATGCCACATGTGTATAAGCACAAAGTGAAATCATACTGGTCAACAGACCCCTGATTGCAACACCAGGTTTCAGTGATATAATGCCAGTGAATCGATTTGTGCTAATGTTACGTATGCTTCACTTCTCAGATAAAACCAGGCCTGACAGAACTGACAGGTTATATAAGATTAGGAATGTGTTTGTGTATCTGAAACAGAAATTCAGTACTCATTTTTATCCCTTCAGGAAGCTTGTAATTGACGAGTCTTTGATTCTGTTCAAAGGAATGACTCTCTTATCAAGCAGTACATACCAAGCAAGAGGAAACGCTTTGGTATAAAGTTGTTTGTGCTTTGTGATTGTTACCAGTGGTCTGGTATTGGATATTATTGTGTACACTGGAAGTTATACATTGCAAAATCCAGGAAGTTATTGGGCATCTCAGGTGATGTGGTTCGAACAATGATAGAACCATACCTTGGTAAGGGGCATATATTATATACAGATAACTGGTACACAAGCCCCACTCAGTGATTTTTTGCGAGTGAACATGACAGATGTGTGTGGCACAGTGCGTGCAAAATCGAAAACATATGCCCAGGTTTGACGCTGGCACTCGCAGAGTGAGGTGCAGGCGTTTGCTGCCAATGACATCATGGCATTTTGGTGGCATGACAAACGAGATGTCACACTGTTGTCATCAATTCACCCTAATGAAATGGCAGACAGTGGCAGGCAGCATAGAGAGAGAAATGAACCCATTCTAAAACCTGCAGCTGTGATTGAGTACACCTTCAACATGCGTTCAGTGGACAAATGTGACATGCAGATTGGGTTTGCTGATTGTGTTCGCAAGAGTTATAAGTGGTACATCAAACTGTTTTTCCATCTTCTGGACATTTCCATGCTCAATGCTTATAATATGTATAAGATGAGCACCAGAAACAAACCACAGTACGGCGAATTCTGTTTGTCTGTCATCAGACAAATAGTATTCAAGTACCAAGGAAATTGACCGCCCACCAAATTATCAACAACTACCTGCTCGTCTGAAGCATGGTGATCACTTCCTGGTAAAACTGCCTGCTACTGCTTTGAAGAAAAAGGCTCAGAAGAGGTGTTACGTCTGTTCACATACAAAAAAACGCCCACAACAACGCAGAGACACTCGTTTTATGTGTGAGGAGTGCAAAACTCCACTGTGCATGACACCATGTTTCAAAGAGTTCCACAGGCTGCAGAACTTCTAGAAACATGTCCTGTGACTGTATATGTGTATATAAAATATAGAAAAATAGTATATAAACAACATTTCATATTGTTTGTTTGTGTAAATATTTTTCTGTAAACAAAATAATGACAACAGTGTTTATGCCCTTATTGTGTAGTATTGAAAAGAAATAACTTACA